TGGATGGCAAGATGAATGTAGGATCAAGAGGTGGGAGCTTTGTCAGAACCCTCAAGGAAATTCTTTTCTCACTCGATTGGCTGCTTATATCAGATCATCAAATGGGAGGTGACACATCATGTATGCTTAAGCCACTGAGAACTACATCCTAGCCAAGCTGACACTTAGCACTAACCTTCATATTCCATCACAGATTTGAGTCTGTGGGTTGAATCCACTCTAACCTAGCAATTTCCCTAAGTCTTTGGACACCTTCTACTGTATACTAAGGAAATTCTGGCACTTCAACTTGATTTAGTATGGACCATCTGTGTTAGTCCAGTTAGACTGGAGAAACAAGTACAGAAACATTCATGTATGTGTAAGAGATAACTTTATATCAAAGAGCAAATATACATTAAGAAAACATCCAAACCCAGTCCAGATCAAGTCCACAAGTCCGATATTAGTCCATATTTTCCTCTTCAGGCTCACAAACACATGTAATCATGCCAATCACGTATGTATTAGAAAAATCAAGCCGTTATTTTGAAGTATAGCATGCCTCCTCCTCCTGGGACACACTTTACATTTCATTTGTTTGGGCTTGATAAGACATCTAATTATATGAAAAGTCTTCAAAATGGGTGTGCAGAAATTCCAGTATCTTTCAATCTCCCCTTTGTTTCTCAATAACTTTCTGAAGCCCCTTCGGCGGCTGCTGGAAGCCTGGGTCGCCACACAGGCGGCGTCGCCCTCGGCCTGCAGCCGGCGTCTTCTGTCACCGAGCGCGCTCGGGAACGGCCTAGACGCTCCGCCCGCAGCGCGCTCAGCGCGCCCCCTACTGGCCCTGGCGCTCGGACCGCCGGGGCGGGGCGCCGTTCTGGGAGTTCCCGGCAGCCTTTGGGCGTTTCTCCCGCGGGAGAGCCTCGGCCTTAGCGGCTTGTCTGCCTGCTGTCGCTTTGATGGCACCGCAGTGTGGCTTCCCGCCTTGAGGACACGCCACAGACAGACTTTGGGCAGCCTCGCTGTGAGCGGTTCTTGTCTTCGGGGCCACTAAGGCCTCTACTGAGAGGAAAGGTAGGTGCCTCAGGGCAGCCCAACGGAAAGAGCAAGGGTGAGAGTGTGGGTCGCTTGCGTTACATGCCACGAGAGATTATGCCGTGAATGCAAATTAGGAGTATTTATTGAGCAGGCCGCTCCAGGAGGACTGGTGTCTCTTAAAATCCCCAAAGCCATGGCAAAAACCCTATCCTGTTTTTTCAAGCCGAAAAGTACAAGGCTCCAGCTGCATCCGAAACCAAAAGAAGTGGTAGTCTACAACAGCATCCTGGAACAGAATAGAGTTACCTGCAGGCTACAAACTTAGGCTAAAGAATGACCATGACAGCTTGACATAGCAAGCTGCCAACAGGGCAGTGGGCTCTAGGGGACATGGCCTTACGACAAGATGGCATCACCTACACTTCCTTGGGGTGGGGGGTGGGGGCATAGGCCAGAATATTGGGGTAGGTTGGGACACATCGCTGAAGTGAATTGGAAGGAGTGGCTGACATGCACAATGATAGAATCAAGAAGATATGTATCTGAGGAGATCACTGGCGATATGGGTGCTATAACAGTGTGGTGAAGAAACCAGGCTATCAGAAGAGTCTGGTGCCTAAAAAGCTTGTCTTGAAATAAGCAGCCGTCAAAGTGAAAAGAAGCGCATCAGCCTTCTTTTGTGTGATCCAAGGATTGAAAAGAACAAAATCCAAGATTGGAGGAGGAAAATGTTTTGGAGCTTAAATTCTGAACACCAGGTTTACAAAAGGCTATTGAGCAGCAGCTTGGGGAGTTAAAATAAATAAATAAATAAATAAAAAAATAAATAAAGGTTATATAGGGAAGGCAGTAACAACCCAAACTCCATTTGCAGAGACTTACCCAACTGTGAATGAGCCTCCGTTGAATGACCTTGGGCCACTATCTATGTATGTGAAAAATCCTGCCCTTAGTACTTCAGAAAATGAACTAATGTAGATAAGAGTTAAATTGTTAAAGTGTAACAGCTTTTCCCTTTTCACCCATTCTTAATTTGTTTTATTTTTATTTTCTGCTTTCTTTTGGACTGAGAAGATATATAGCCAATGTCAGTGAACATGTATAGAAAATGTTAAATGAGAACCTAACGTGTTATGTAAATTTGCACTGAAAACACAATTAAATTAAAAAAATTTTAAATGTATCACTTGAAAAAATAAAGATTCCCAGGCAAAGTAGTTCACACCCCAGGTAGTCTGTTTCAGAACTGAAAATTGTTCAGTTTTCCGTACGTCTCACCTCTGGGGGTGGTTCTGGAAGTTAATGCTTGGAGGTCAGGCAAAGAAAAAGCCTGAGGTTAGTTTGCTGGCTCTCTGCTAATAGGCAGGAAAGAACAAAGTGTTATCTACAGGGGTTTGTGTGATAAGCAATCAGTATTTCAAATCTATTGAAAAATAATAAACACATCCAGGAAATTCCAAGTAAGACAAGCACAAAGGGATCAACAGGCGCATTAAGTAAAAATGCTCCAAACAAAGATTAAAATGTGTAAAATGGCCAGAGAACAATAATGCATCACTTAAAAGAACAATAAGATTAACAATTGACTTTTACAAATAAGGAAGGCCTAAAAATAAAAACTGAACTAAACTCGGTGTCACGGAGTTGGTTTGACTCCCAAGAAGCCTACTGGACAGGGCAGACCTGCCCCTTCGGGTTGAAGAGGCTGTAGCTCTTCATGGGAGTAGAACGCCTCCTCTTTCTCCCTGGCAGTGGTGGTGGGTTCCAACGCTTGCCAGCTCAGTGCGTAGCCACTCCATAACCACAGCCAGAATGCAGGGGAATAACGTATTTAAAATGCTCAAAAACCCCTGTCACTTGAGAATACTAGTCCACCAAATCTATCTTCCAAAGATGAAGATGAAATATTTTTCCAGGGAGGGAGGGGGAAAATGAGGACCTAATGCCAGGGACTTAAGTGGAGAGGAAATGTTTTGAGAATGATGAGGGCCATGAATGTACAAATGTGCTTTACACAATTGATATATGTATGGATTGTGATAAGAGTTGTATGAGCCCTTAATAAAACGATGATAAAAAAGAAATATTGTTCCATATACATAAAACTGAGGGAATTTGTTGCTAGTTTACCCATCTTACAAGAAAAACAAAAGGAGATTCTTCAAATAGAAAGCAAGTGACAGCAAAAGGTAATTTGAATTTATACACACCCAAAATAGTACCCATAAAGATGATTGCATAATTCTAAAAAATAGTATAAGTATTCTTATCCTTTCTCCTAATAACCAATTAAAAACAATATATAATGCAATATATATATAATTCATAAATACATACCGGTTTATCCATGTATACATGCAGTATATGTCAGGAAGTTTCTCTGACTCCTGTTGTTGCAGGGCTGATAACCCCCCACTCTACAGGTCAGGTAATACGCTGATGGCTCATGGGGTTGCTGGAGCTAGCAACTCCAAAATCTGATGAGCAGATGGCAGGCTAAAGGCTTCTCATATTGGATGGCAAGATGAATGTAGGATCAAGAGGTGGGAGCTTTGTCAGAACCCTCAAGGAAATTCTTTTCTCACTCGATTGGCTGCTTATATCAGATCATCAAATGGGAGGTGACACATCATGTATGCTTAAGCCACTGAGAACTACATCCTAGCCAAGCTGACACTTAGCACTAACCTTCATATTCCATCACAGATTTGAGTCTGTGGGTTGAATCCACTCTAACCTAGCAATTTCCCTAAGTCTTTGGACACCTTCTACTGTATACTAAGGAAATTCTGGCACTTCAACTTGATTTAGTATGGACCATCTGTGTTAGTCCAGTTAGACTGGAGAAACAAGTACAGAAACATTCATGTATGTGTAAGAGATAACTTTATATCAAAGAGCAAATATACATTAAGAAAACATCCAAACCCAGTCCAGATCAAGTCCACAAGTCCGATATTAGTCCATATTTTCCTCTTCAGGCTCACAAACACATGTAATCATGCCAATCACGTATGTATTAGAAAAATC